TATCTCATTTGAAGCTAAAATACCCCAAAGTCAAAATGTTCTTAATTATGCACAATGTCCATAGTTACAACATCATATTCATGTTGATTTCAGTTTACAGCAGGACTTACTCTTACAGTGTTATTCAGATTTGGGGCTTAAGCATAAAAAAAAAAAACCATGGTATATCGTCTATTGGACTATGATATGCAAAATTAAAAAAACCCTCTCAACCAATCAAGGACAACAACATGTTTAGACAATTGAAATGTTGGCTGGTATAATATACATTTTAACAAACTTAAATCCACGTGTTCTACCAAGCAATGACCAAACTTTATCTAAGGTGTGTAATAACATACTGAAATTATTAAATATACTAACCAACTTTCATATATGTTTTCAGTTCAAATGGCTTGATGGGAGGTTGTCCTTCAGTCTTTCTGTAGGCTTCCGCTATGGTTTCGACTTCTACTTTGGGTACATTGAACTCTGAATACGAGCCGTCACGGTTCTCTACAAAGCTACGTGTTATTTCCAGCGGCATCTATAAAAAAAATTGATTGAAACAAAATTATAAATAACATGTCACATCCTGGTTCTAGTTTAGAGTGTCAGTTCTTGGCTGACTGTATTAAATACAAGATTGACTACCAGGGCAGAGAAAATGAGGTGGTTAGACCCAAATTGAACATTATATGTAACCTTCATGCTTCACCTACCGTAATATGGATAGCCTTTATACTTATACATTGACTGGACCAAATAAGGGTAAATGTCATTTGGATACCGAAAGACAAGCAAAATTGTAATTTACATTTTTTCAAGAAAAAAACTCCTAAATATGAAGGAAAATTTTGCATTTTTTAGTAAAAAAAAAATATCCTTCATATTTCACCTGAAAAATTTATACTTTTTTTGACATAAATTGTAATACCGATTTGCTCTAACAGAAGGGTATGTAAACAAAAAAAAATGCTTATTGCATTATTATTACTTATTTTGAGTATATACATTCACATAAGCACTACTACTAAAGCAAATAAGGCATTCAAAACAAGTTCCGCTGTGACAGTTTACAATTACAGACAATGGGAAGTTCCTACCCATGATGCATTGCACATATGCGCAGTAACGGTAGTGAAAATTTTGATGCACACAGCCTTAAATGTGGATAATGCAATAATACAAAAAGTATGTGGATGTTACTGTAACACATTTCAATTTCGCGGAAGAACAATTTTGATTAAATCAGGAAAGATCCTTGTAGCAGTGAATATTTTTACCAGATTACTTACTGTTGCTGTCGATTTGTTTCACGTACCTTACCTTACCAGCAATATATTATATAAGTGGCAGGCAATAAAGCTGTATTGCAAACAGTGACACTTTCAGGAAGCCAGTAGATCGTCGTCAGATTTGAAGACAACATTGCATGCAACGTAGCTGTATTGTCAGCTATTCAGCTGATGATGTTCTTGGCACAAGTGTACAAAACAAATCTGCGGCCACAGTAAGACTGGGAATCACAACAACTTTTGTGAAATCAAAAACATGATTTATAGTGGTGCAAATGCATTGGAAAGGTCATAAGTACGATTACAACATTTTAAAATAATTGAAATACATATCAAGAGTTGAAATAAAGGGAGGCCAGTGCTTCTAAAACTTTTCCCAAGCTGATAGTTTTTTTTAAATTGGAAATAGGAGTCTAATAGAAAGTACTATACAAGACCCAAAGTTTATGTACAATACAATGACTGCCACCTGAATAATTTTTTTAATGAATGTTACATACATAGATAGATACATGCAAAACAATATGTTCAGTTTGAGTGAGGCAGTGACACTTACATCTAGAGTATCAAATATCTGTTTAACATGAATGATATTATTAATATGCCAGGTGTACTTGGAGAATGTACCCAATGGTAGAGCATCTTTCCGAATGAACGCAGTAGTGGAGTTAGGAAGTCGCTTCTTTTTACTGCCCGTAGACAATCTATGTTGTAACATATCAAAGAACTTCTGTGGTACATGGAACACCAGTGGTTCAGGATTACCTGTTAACATAGGAATAATTTCAGATTATAATCAAACTGCATTCGGTATCCACCCCTGTAGATGGAGGATTGCGATGGAAAGTAGTTATTCAAAAAGGCAAATTTTGTAAGCAGTTAAAGCGGGGGAGTCGTCACCTGCGCATGCGCCAGATGGTCATAGCGCGTCATTGTTTACAAACAAGTGTCTGCCCATGAGCCTTTGCGTTTTAGCGTGTGTTGTTATCGTCGCTTGGGACTCAATTCCCGCACATGCACAGGTGACAAGTCTCTCACTTATTCAGAAATCAAATAGATTAGTGTACTTGAAAAAATTGAAACGTCCAAACATAATACTACATGGCACATCATCATTAAAAATCTTAAAGATTATTGAGAAATGCTTACTTGTAAAACTTGCTTAGTGACCTCACAAATTTGCAGTAATAAGCTCACCTTCTGAGCAACTTTTCCCTTGTATCAAATTAACAAAATTCACACCAAACTTCTTTTTTGACGAACACACTTGGACACACACTTTTGAGAATATTCAGTAAATTAAGGATCCTGTGAACCAGGTCACAAACTTACAACCATGGCCTTTTTTGTCTATTACAAAATATTGTATCCCATAAACTATAACAGCATTCTACCATGCTACAATTCATACACGTATACATGTACACCTACCATCAAATTGATAATGCATTGTTTGATTGACTCGTTCAGTAACACTACCAAGCCATTCAGTGAAACTAAGTGACTGTTCCTGCTCTTCAGATATTGGTTGTCTTTTATTCCCCATGGTTACAACAGTAGGACTGCCTCCAATCTTCTTGATAGGACTTTTCTTGTTAGGTGTGTTGGCACTGTCTTGAAGCGTTAAAAGAGCACTGCTAGCTTGGACTACAGAGGCAATTAGAAAAACATTTATTGATAAACGACAAGTAGGTCATCACGTCGCTTGCAATCAATTCTAGAAGAAATAGGGTTTGGACAGTTTTCATAAAAAAAATAATGTTATGAAAAACAGTCAGGGAAAATGTACCTGTATTGGTATGCTATTGATTGTGGCAGCAAGAACAATAGAATTCAGCAGTGTGTGAAACCCTGTATGAACATGTTTGAAAGTTATACAGACATGTTTGAATGTTTAAACATGTAGTTACAATGAAATCATTCCAATGAAATTCATGTAACTTGAGTCATACATCCTGGAATACTGGTAAATTTAAAAAAAAAAAAACAGTAATGTAATTGTTTTTATTTTATGTACCAGTATATTACACCAGTCCCTTAAATATACTTCATGTTGAGTAACATCAAAAATCTTACCCATAGATTCATCTCTTTTTCTTTTTTTAAGAACTTTACTAGGACTGTCAACAGCAGCTTCCACAACTGTCACGCCATCATTAGCATCAGTGTAGACAGTAACTATCTGTCTTTCAGGAACTAGGAGGCAAAAAAACATTCAAAATGACATGGAACCAAAGTATTGCAGTTATGATAATGTGATAAATGCAGACCTTGAGCGCCCGATTTCAAGGGCAACATTTTTTTTAAATGATTACCGGTAAATGAAATCGGGGAGGGAATATATATATGGTCAGCCCGGTCTATTCTCAAAGGCATGTATGGTGGGGCATAATAGAAATCAGTTTCTGTGATGAAATTTCAGCATTGCAAGATTATTATTTGTGAGGTAACATTCACATTCTATAAAACCAAAACAGAGGAATTAAAATTTTCAGGGGAATCGTCTTTCAAGGTTTAAGGTGAACCATTTACTTGTACAATGTTTTTTATAACAAAATAGTTACCTGTATCAGAGCCACAAAAGTGTTAGGCTACATGTATTGTATGTCGAGAATACAACACACATCAGAAAAGCAAAATTTGTTCTTATATCAGAACATACTGTATGATCCACAAATCATTTTATTGTAGCCGTGAATTTGTTTTGTATACCAAGTCAGCAGTATCGCCAGCTAATTGGCTGCCGACACAGCTGTGTTGCTTCGAAGAGCATGTAGATCTAATCAGATTTAGAGGCAACATTGCATGCAACACAGTACAAAACAAATTTGTGGTGAGAGTAGGAGCTTTCACAAAATACAAAGCTGAAAAGCGGTGAACATATTTGTTGATTCAGTTTTGAAATGATATTGACATTGACCAGAATGATACAAAGATTTTCAGCTGATAGCTAAATTGAAACGCAGTAAATATTCAAATATAATAGAATAAACCTAGTGAATATCCCTGCAACATTAAATCCAACAAAGTTAAACTGAGTATTTTTTTTTACTGCAAGGCCAAACAAAAAATTGGTTTTGCATCTTACCATGATGTCGTGCGTATCAGTTGGAAACCTGTACCTCACACATTTTTTTTTATTTTGCATACTGTAAGGTGCACCACATGTAGTAGAATGGAGAACTGTTGGTTTTCTGTTTCAGAGAATTTTTCAATCTGATTAAAATATGATCTTCGCAAGGATGAAAATCAACCTTTAAAGCATTATTTAATAAATATTGAACATGTATCTTCTTGTTGAGGTATAACCAAATAATCTAACATAATTTAAAAAAAAAAAAAATCACATTTTTTTTCAACTTCCCCCAGGACAAAAGGCAAAAACCTTTTTTATTTTGACATAATGTATGCTGAGGTACTGCTACTACTTACTTTGTGAGTCTAGATTGATGTAATATGCAAACTCTTCTGCCAGTTTGTCATCACTGGCAAAGGCACAAATACATGCGTAAAAATGCACACATCGTCTCTTATGCTCTTCAATCTGACCCATATTTTTCAGATTCTTAAACGCCCTGCATGTGCAGTGAAACTTTCTGTCAACAATTCCGCCCTTTTTAACATTCTCTGTGAATGAAAAATGAAGAAATCCTAATGGCTGTTTAGGATTTGTCTTGCACTTCACCACCATTATGTTCTTAGTTACTCTCTGAACTAGCGGTCCGGTAGTTTCAGTGGCAAGCAGCCATATAGCCTGTTTTACCTCATTGGAAACAGGTAAAGAATTGAGAACAGAATTCTTCAAAGTCAGTGGAACTGCATCTTGTGTGCACTGTACAGCAACTTTTATATGATTACAGGGAGTTTCAAGAACCCCACCCTGTGGTACTGGCTTCTGACAGGCGTCAACAAAGCATCTTCCAGGACCCATGATTGTACTGTCCACGGCCTGCGTTGGATCTAGCTCTGGTGGGAGTGGTAACTGCACAAATCCTCGATAATCAGGTCCCCTGTCACGGAGTCGTACCGAAAACACCTGTACTGTGGACCCAGTGATGATTTTCACGGCTTCAGCGCTGTGTCCACCTCTACGTTGCCTGTCCTTGAACACAGCATTGCAAGTTTTGTTCTTGCAACTCAGTCCCCTGGTGCCATTGTACGTCCCGCATTTGTGGCACCTTTTCACCCCACGCAAGGTAGGTCGTCCCAAATCTTCAAAGGTAATCTTTGGCTTTTCGGTCACGGATGCCATATTTTTCAATAAATATAATAAAACGAATTTTATCCTAATAACAGATAAATGAAAAGAATTGTTAAACATTCACATATTATTACGGCAATGGAAGATGTATACTGTAAAATCATAATTTTCACTGGTATAATTTTAATTTTACTGTATTATTAGCAGCCAAAACTAAGAACAACTTTCTGAGAGAAAATCAATGAAAATTAAGTTTTGGACTTTTGTAATGTGCTTTCAAGATTCACTCACGGCTGACAAAATGGTCCTAACAATTGATAATAAAAGTGAACTATGGTAAAACCTACACACAACAGTTGCACAAAATGTACTACGAGTGGACAGTTGCGCGTACACGCCTAATTCCCCGCAGTACACGCAAATCCTTAGGTGAGATAATAGACCAACCCTAATTCTGGCGACCAGTATGTTAACCACGTAATACACGGAACTGTACAGTGTAGTCGTGGATTATAACCGATCTGACACTTTCATTAGTAACGCAGAGTCTGGCTAAATATTATTAGATAGAATATTCACTCGGAAATATTGGACGACCTCCGTAATACTATGCTTTTATGTTATAGTATGTTCACATACGAAAGCCCTGTAATGAAACGAAGCAGATGACAAACCATAATCGCAATCATCGACGTAATTTCATATTCCAAATTCAATTCGGAATGTTTGACTTGAAAACGTAACACGTCGCTACATTTGAGCTTTTCGGTGAAATAATTAAGTTAAATTTAGTTGGCTACTTGTAGAAAGGTTGTAAGCACAGTTTGGTGCCGTTGTAACACATTAAAAATCCTTACCGGCTTCGTACAAAATAATATCAACGAGTAAACATTTGCAGCGTTCAGTAGCCCGCCATGTTGGTCACCTGGAAAATAACAACGCCAAAGTAGCCGTCAGTTGATTGGACGATAATGGTCACGTGATACGTGTTTACGATACAGTGCATATGATTGGTCATGACCCCGAGAGCCCGATCTCGGCAACGAGCCTAATACAGTACCTAGCCCTGACCTAGCCCATGCCTAGCCTAACCTGACCGAGCCTCATATTCAGCCCAGACTCAAAATCCAACATCGAACCATCACAATATGCGATGGGAAAATAATAAAATATCTACAAGGCAAATACGTTTTTTTTTGTATTTTCGCAAGGTTATTAGCATTCATTGCCTAATAACTCAGTCTTTTGTTGTAAGTTGTTTTTTATACATTTTATATTTTGTTTTTTTTACTATTTGTTTGTCCTATTCTATTACCACCTTGTGGATTTTCGTGATTACTAGAATTTACGGATATTAAATGACCTGGTGAAGTAATATTGTATACTTGATCATATCACAATTACATTTGACAGTAAGCCCGCGAACGATAAACGTATTTGATTTTGTTTCTGGGATGGGTTTTGAATTTGAAGCTGAATCTGAATGTGAGGCTCAATCTGATGCCACCTTTACGCTCGTATCAAGGCAAGCAACCCAACACAGTCGTTCTGCAATATATAAACCCATCGACGTCATCGTGGGGACCCCGGAAGACACCGTCGTCCCAGAACTTAAATTACACGTTTCTGCAGGACATAGTCTGAATTTGAACCAGAAATGAAAAAATAAATGTATTTAGATTTAATTTAATTATTTGACTGGTTTATACTGTCCTTTTAGTCATAAACCATAGAAAAACAACAAATCGGCGGAGAACTGTTAATGTTGTATGCCATGCATGCCCGGTGCCAAAACAAATTAGTGACCCAGTTCCACCCGACTTGATTCGGCTTTCTTCGAGAAACTCTTAGTTCTTGCCTGCTCGTTTTTTATTATAAGTATAAAGGGACACAATTGGCTCGTGTCTTGTGGATTTGATGTTAGGACTTTTTTTAATGACTTTGATTATGTTAGCATATTGAGATGTTGTTTACAAGGCCTAAGTAACACTTAACTGTTCCAGTTCACAATTATGCAAATTGCCTCGTTGATTAGATCACCCACCCACCCACCCACCCCCCCCCCCCCAAAAAAAAAAAAACTATTGTAGTGTATTGTAGTAGTAAACTCACGAATTATCAATTTTTCCAGCAAGTAAGACTGAACTGTTTGATCGTTTTTATGGTAGTCATTACATGCAATAACATAGTCATGTTATGAAAGAACAAACTAACCACATAAATGTACTATCGGAAATGTAACGTGTTCGAAGTATACAAAATAAATACAACATAGATACAAGGTACAATAAAGGTAACGGTCGTGAATAATTAACAGGAAAATATAATATTTTAGGTAAAATCATTCATTTCGCATAAACGAAAGTTTGCAAATGAAAAATAAATTTAACAAACTATATAAACATCACAGTTCTTTTTGTGCGCACATGACTTGAAATCATTACATTCGACCCCTCCCCAAAATGGGAAGAATCAAGTGTTTTATACACCATTCATGTAAAAACTATCATTATCGTAGACTTAGTAGACTATCTTGTTCCAATGCTGCACTAAAGCACATCTCTATCTGACATCACCATCTCACATGACACAAACAAACGTACTGATGGATGTTCGTAGACGTTCCATAAACGCGTAAGCTTCCTATATAAACCGGCAAATGTGTTTAAAAGGTTGTCGACGAAAAGCTAAGTAACGTTATTACTCAGACTATTTATTTAGCAATACAATTGTATTACTAGTCTGAGGAACAGTCACTCAACACCCGGTACCGGTAACGGGTGTTGAGAGACAGTGGCGGATCCAGCAAAATGTATTGGGGGGGGGGGGGGGGGCAAGCTTCGCTTAAGATATACGGAGCGAAAATCGCAGAGAAGCTATGCGTAATCCAGATAATATGAATCGTCATGCGTTTGGGGGGGCCATGCCCCCTCCTGCCCCCTGGATCCGCCACTGTTGAGAGACTGTGTCTGAGGTTATTTATAACTGACCCGAAGGGCGATAACAGTTGGTTTTCTTGACGTACACCGTAACTGGCAGCAATACATGCTAGAACAGAATGTTTTAAATAACGAAAGCTTGACTTCACTGTTACAGTTCGTAAATTTACGTAGCATGATGTTTGCCCGCACACTAAAAGTCAATTTAGATCACGAGTTATTTTATTCCCAGATTAAACTGTTCAACAAAGTCAACATTATTATTACATAAATCTAATGGTTCATGCGATTGCGACCACAGAACGGCCTAGATTTAGACTTCTTTGAAATATAGATAATGTCATGCTCATCTGCGAATAATTCACAAAATATGTAAACGTTTGCGCACACATTACAAATGGAGGGCCCACTTATACACAAATATCATTTGTGTAGCTCAAATTGTTTATTTCAGTGTTACACTGATATTATTCTTATAAATGCTAAATGTGTGTTGGATACATTACTCCTCACTGTCATACTCCATTGGATACATTAACAAATTGTGAGGTGGTAATCCCCCACAGTACAACTGGTTGCAATACGTTTGAACTTGGTTCAATGTTTCACTCTGTCGAATGCCTTGGACGCGTCAAGAAAACGCACACAAATACACTGCTACCAAGACCATTACACTTGCGAATGATCAATTTTATTTGGGAGTAGAATGCATAGACAGATGAAGTGTTTAAAACCAAACTGGCTGTACGTTGTTTCAAAAACCTTGTCAAACCTCTTGAGCAATATATGTCCGAATACTTTTGACAAAACAGATGTTATTGCAATCGGGCGATAATTGCCTGCGTTGGTAATATTTCCAGTTTTATTTTTCAAGAGTGACGCTACAACAATTTCCAACATCGTCCCAAGAAGTGTTCCGTGCACGAAGGGTGGCGAGATACACATAAATGATACATAGACAAATGCGTACTAACAATAGGAAAAGCATACTTCAAGTGTTCAGCACATAAACCATCCAGAGCACAAGTTTACTCCGTTAGATTTTTAGACGCAGTCCGAAAACGGGGACTAAAATGCACGTCATTTTATTTTTCAGATTGGATTCAAAATGGCTGACTGGCGGCTATTTTGTTTTAATGATTGGGCTTTAGAGCCATATCTCTTAAATGCTTTGATTGATTATATTCAAATTTTATATATTCGTTATACATCATGTTATATATATATATACATGCATTCAAAATGGATGATTTTGAATGCTGTTCCAGAGCAATATCTCTCAGTATCGACAAGTACTTGTTTGATGATCAGATACAAATGTCAATCATTTTAATGTTAAAAAACCATATTCCTGACATGGTTATATTCCAGCTATATTACTATAAACAAAACTACTAGTATATATCTTAAATTTAATAACTAACGGGGACTGTGCCATGCATGGCTTGTTATTTATAATTTCGTTAATTTCTAATGAGGACACACATAACATGGTCCTAATCGTATATGTGTCATTCGTGGCGGAGTTCAGCAACGATTCAAAATGTCTCACCAACATTTTTTGAAATATATGTCCCGTCAGACATGGCACAAATGAAACAAATTGATTTGGGCATCAAGGATTTATTCCTAACAAGATGGAAAGGTGAAGTTCATAATGATAACCACACCAAAGCAAATGAGAAAAACAAACTGAGAACATATTGGCTAATCAAATCAGATCGAGCCATATTTAGTCAAGCTAAAAAAATTTTAAACTTGGTAGTATGCTTACCAAATTTTGTCTTAGTGACCATAGTCTCAAAATTGAAGTTGGTGGTCATAAAAAATCTCCAGGTTGTGTGACATGCGTCTCATTGAGAATGAAATGCACTTTCTGGAATGCAACAAATGCCTGCTGTCATTTTAGTAATCTTACATTATTTAGTATTTTAGTGATTTTGTATTGATTAGCGATTGTATTTTGTTATCTAGCATATTGTTTTTATATATTTTTTTTCTTGTACCTTGTGACCATTTCCTCTCCCTCCGGGGATTGTGTAAGAGTCAATAAGTAAATAAATAAAAGACGCATTCTCAACAAAAGATGGAATGAGTGTTGCGTATGACTTTGTGACTTTTTTCAGAGCAGGTGTTCGTCTTTATTCAAAAGGTTATTTGATAGTTTGTCTGCAGTCCTACGAGAATGAGCTGATTTGCAGTTGAACTGTGTGACCTTGAATTTGCCCTCGCCGACTTCTGTGCCAACACCCTCAACTGATTTGCCAGCAAGACAAAAATAAAAAACCTCCGTGCAAAGATTGACATCTTTGACAATGTCATTCCATAAAAAATATTATTATTATTCCGGGCGACGGTGTTACTGGTATGTATGTTCGGTCATTTTTATTTCACTTTCATACTCAGGTATATCTAACCCTTAAAATAGGTACTGTTCGATTTCTGCCATACTTATATTCACAACTCTTTCCAAACACGTAAATAAATTACATAGACATCAGTTAACCGAACTTCGAATTACAAGAAATATACGTTAAACAAAACAAAAAATCTATTTTGCACGCAATTCGAAGTTCAGTTAACTGGTATTTAAAGTTTGACACTAAATATGGATGTTTAACAAGAATAAAAATATATGTTGCCTGTAACTCGAAGTTCAATTAACTGTTATTAAAAGTTTGAGTTACAATTCCTAATTTCCGAGTTACTATTTTTCTCACGAAATTCGATAGAGGGCGTTCTCAAAGTACCCGGATGACAGTCCGTTCAACGTTCGTGGTGGGGTTGAATTTGAGCGGCGTCTGCTGTAAGCAATATACTAGTAGTTACTGTTGCCTAAGTCTTACTTTTTACAAACGTTTTGCAAGAATTGGTCAAAGTGGTTAACTGGTATTGTAATGCTATTCCTGGGGTTCGATTAAAAAGAAAAAAAAACAGCGAAATATCCTGAGATGAAAGG